CTCCTGCCTCTGCCTCCCTAGTATCTGGGACTACAGGCAGCCGCCACTACGCCCGGCTGGGTTTTTTTTATTTTTAGTAGAGACGGGGTTTCACCGTGTTAGCCAGGATGGTCTCAATCTCCTGACCTGTGATCTGCCTGCCTCAGCCTCCCAAAGCGCTAGGATTACAGGTGCGAGCCACTGTACCCAGCCCATCTACAAAATCTTTAAGGATCTCAAAAGCATGCTACATGAATAAGAGGTAAGAATATGGGGATACTTAATATGTAGAAGACTTGGGCTTGGAATTGATGGAAAAGTAATAGCTATCTTGAAGGCTGTCACATTTGAAAGGGATCAGACTTGCTCTGTCGTCCCAAACTAGAATCAACAAGCAGCAGCAAGTAGTAAAGTGGTACATCTGGTAGTGAAGAGACTTGAGTACTACAATTTGTTTAAAAATAGTATATTAGAAATGTATGTGGTATTTCTGGATACTAATTATCTTGTATGTAAAATAAAGGTGCTAAGCTAGGTAATTCTAAAGTAATTTTCAAGTAAAAATGGTATGGGAGGGGGGGCTAGGCGTAGTGGTTCACATGAGGGCATGATTAGCCAGGCATGATGGCTGATGCCTGTAATCCCAGTACTTTGGGAGGCTGAGGCAGATGGATCACTTGAGGTCAGGAGTTGGAGACCAGCCTGGCCAACATGGTGAAACCTCATCTCTACTAAAAGTACAAAAAATTAGCTGGGTGTGGTGGTCCATGCCTGTAATCCCAGCTACTCATGAGGCTGAGGCAAGAGAACCACTTGAACCCAGGAGGCAGATGTTGCAGTGAGTCGAGATCATGCCACTGTACTCCAGCTTAGGCGAGAGTAAGACTCCGTATCAAATTTAAAAAAAAAAAAAAAAAAAAAAAAAAAGGCATGGAAGCAAATTCTGAATCAACTTCTTAGCAAAGAGTGTCCCTTCCCAGCACTCTGGGAGGCCGAGGCGGGTGGATCACCTGAGGTCAAGAGTTCAAGACCAGCCTGGCCACCATGGTGAAACCTGGTCTCTACAAAAATAGAAAAATCAGCTGAGCATGATGGCAGGTGCCTGTAATCCCAGGTACTCAGGAGGCTGAGGTGGGAGAATCACTTGAACCCAGAAGGCGGTGGCTGTAGCAAGCTGAGATTGCGCCACTGCACTCCAGCCTGGGCAACAGAGCAAGACTGTCTCCAAAAAAACAAACAAACAAAAACAGTATCCTGAATGTACATGGAATCAGCTATGAAATGCTAAGTTCTAAAACAAAGAACTTAGCAAAGATAATGGTGGCATATTGATTCACATTATCACTTTTTCTACATCAAAGGTAAGGTGGAATAAATAGCAAATTATTTTAATAAAGGCCAGGCCAGGAGCAGTAGCCCATGCCTGTAATCTCAACATTTTAGGAGACTGAGGAGGGAGGATCACTTCTCAGCCTGGGCAACATAAACTCCAACTCTGCAAAAAGATACCAAAAATAGCTGGGTACAGTGGTGCATACCTATAGTCCCAGCTTGAGAGGCTGAGGTAGGAGGATCACCAGAACCTGGGGAGGTTGAGGCTGCAGTGAGCCATGATCGAGCCACTACACTCCAGCCTGGGCAACAGAATAAGACCCCGTCTCAAGGGGGAAAAAAAAAAAAAAAAAAAAAAAGGCAGACATGGCAGTGCATGTCTATAGCAGAGAAGGCTGAGGCAACAGGATCACTTGAGGCTAAGAGTTCCAGGCTCCAGTGAACTACAATGGTGCTACTGCACTCCAACCTAGGTGACACTGTGAGACCTTGTCTCAATAAAAAAAATAAATAAAAAAAGCCAAAAATGTCCACTAGCAGTTGTTTTTAAAGAACTCAAAAACATGATGAAGGATTATTGCATTTTTCGATGTTATCCTCTATTGAGTAAATTACACTAGTAATTTAATTGTAGCGGGAAAAGTCCTATTTTCCTATCTTGTCCATATTCAATATTGCATTTTGCTTCGTTTCTAGATATACTGATTATTCTAACATAACCCTTTGAACCTACTTATTCCCTAGAGAATAATAGTATATCACTTTCTCCTGTCAATTATTTTATATACCAGGCAACAATGTTATTTCTTGATCCTCAGGACAAGATTTCTGAGTTACAGTGTTGAGTAAACGTTTACAGAATTCCTTAATTTCTCAAACCAAAATAAAAGTTACTAAGTTGAGCAATTGTTTTCTAAGTTCTAGGTATTATTTAATAGAAACAGGCAAAACGAGACTATACTTTCCTTTTGCTTTGCCAAAACCTGCAAAACTTTTGCCAAAAATATTCCAGGCAATAATCTCATGAAATATGTACTCAACTTACCAAAGTACAATATTTTTATAGTGCTCAAGCTTGAGAAATTAAATATGAGTCATAAATACTAAGAGAGCAGGGGTAAGAAATGCCTTGGAATATAGGAGGCTACATATACAAACAGTACAATGTCTGTGGACATGTTTCTAAATGCACTCCAAAAACATACAAAAACAAATTTGTGGTTTATCAATTTCTCTTCTCTGAGAGTTTTAAGAAAAATTATTTTCCTAATTCTACATCTGTCTGAAAACCCATGGATACCTGTTGTAGTTTACATTATAATTCAAATATTAAACATATTTTGAATATTTTTCTACCTATGCCATACCTTACCTCTTGAGCAAAGATCCCTTTGATCATAATTCCTGAAAACTCCGGTGAATACTTCAAAGTTCACTAACATTTTTACTGAAGTAATCTAATTACCTTAGATGTATACATTAGTGGAAAAATCACTCCAGAATACCTAAGTACTTAATTTTGAAACAATCTTTCACATTTCAGGACTAAAGTACTATGAAATATTATTGTTAAAGGGAAACAAAAATACCTGGATAAAAATAAAGCAAAAAATTGCTTAGGACATCTAAGCACTGACATTTGTCAGACTACTTCAACATGGCAAAGAAAATAAGATCTGTGTACATATTTACAATAACCTATAAAGTCAGGATTTTGCAGTCACACTGCTTGTCATGTTTACTTTTTTTTAACAGAAGCTACAAAAAAAAAACTTTGTTTCCTTACTAAAGAACAATCAAAACAGATTTTTATACTAATCTAGTCAGTGATGGTTAAACCATAAGCCTATGTTCCTACACCTCGAAAATACAATGGTAAGCCAAATTCAACATTCTTTAAATTTTGTTATTTTGAAGGTTACTGATGATGTAGAGAAGAGTCTATGTTTTAAAAATTATTTTTAAAAACTCATGTCACCATTATCTTTGCAATATTTTTCAGGTTTCTAATACAGGGTGTATTTTAACTTCCATGCCTACCCTACCCTTTCATACACATATAGGAAAAGTTATAGATTTATTTTATATTCAAATAAAATACAGCCTTTCATTGACATATACTGTGTCTGTAAACCTTTTAAAAGCTTTAATTCTGAAAACAAAATTTTGTCCACAGAATCTTTACATTTTTTTCCAAACTTACCAGGTTAATAAAGCCAAGAATGTTAGCTTCCTTTCTTTCCCCCACTCCCAATACAACAGCTATTCTAAATCATAACTGCCTTTTAGAAATTTGATTTTTTTCAGAGTATAATTTCTTTCGGGAGCCAAATTATTACATTTTAATCCACCAACAGTCACTAATTCAATCTTTATTTCTTGCCTAGGACCCCATCTTAACGTTATTTTTAATTTTGGGGGTCTACTTCTTCAGTAACTTTTCTTCAACTCTGAAAGGAAATCCTCTAGCTTCTAAGCAAATCCTGCATAGAAAAGGTAAATTGTTCCTGTGGCTTCAATTAAGTTAAATTATGTAGCTATAAAAACAAGAATCAATAAAACTAAATATTACCCTTTCCATGCTGTCTTGATAAGATTTAAAAACAAGAGACTATGAGATCAAGATTTCTCCTTCTACAATTATTTGTGCAAGTAGAACACTAAAATACAAAACATTTTTCACTTCAACAGTTCTTATGAATTGCATAGTCCCTAATCAGCCATTATTTTCAAATGTTCTTCTGGGTAAAGGAACTGTTTTTGGATGCTATTCTATAAGAGTTATATTTTGATCAATCTAGCATCAAAAGACTTGGCCAAATTACTCTTGATATTTACAGTATCAACTCAAGAGAGTTTTAATGGTTTGCAAAATTGATGTACAAAAATTGCATCTAAAAAAATCCAATTCTGGAAACAAAGGTAAGATGATGCTAATCAGGAAAATGCAAAAACATACAAAACAAATCACCTATTTCATACATTCACTGGTGACCCCCACGAAGAATCACTTTAACAGTTCAAAAAAAGTTTTTTCTGGGGAAAAAAAAAATGTAACATACAGAAAGGTAGAATATATATTCAGAAATACTTAGAGAAAGACACTTAAAATTAAAATACATTTAAAAATACTGTTGCAGTTTTCAGTTTCTACTCCTGAAACAGAAATAAGCCATTATCAGTAAGTGCATTTTTTTCATGGAGAAAATATTTATTAGATTTCAAATTATCACATAATACAGATATTACACAATTAGTCATTCTAGAAAAAAGTTTATATTAATATTCATAAAGTAAACACTGAAAAATATAGGACTTCATTTTGTGACATAAAATATAAAAAAATTCAAAGGTAAATTCACCAAAATAAAAGTTTAAATAAACAAATCAGTTCACAATAATATACAAAAAGTTTCACTTTTAAATAAATAGCTTGTAGTGGCATGAGGTGACTAGAAATGCACTTACATTTCTTTTTGCATATTTTAAGGAACAGAGCTAAAATTCAATCAAAGCATGAGATTAAGAGATTAAATCACTTTTCATCTTCAAAGCTGAAACAAGAAGCTTATAATCTCACAGGCCACACAAAGTGGTTTGTACTTTGGTTCAAAGAATTCAACTAACTTAATTTCCAAGCAAATCTCATTTTTAGTTCCTTCAGTTCTTCCTAAAATGATTAACAGTTGTTTTTTAATTTATATGTGTTTGTAAACCAATTGTCTTATTAACATTTACTAAAAACAAGTCAGGAGTAAAAAGCTGTAATCATTTATGGGAATTCAAAGCTCTCTGGGGAAATTTCAGTTCAAATTGATCCTTTAAACTTACTTTTAAGTACTATACTTACAAAAATTTATTTATAATGATAAAAAAATACAGAGAGCCAAGAAAGACTAAGTGCAGGTTATGCTTTAGCAAACGTGGCTTCTAAAACTTTTGAGATTTCCTAAAACATTTTAGCTGCTTCCATATTAATAACTCTAGAATATCTGTTCTTAAAATCTATAACAAATTTAACAAACTGGCAGCATTATGTGACTTTAAAAATTTTCTTTAATAGCTTTTGACTGACCAGTTAATAGATACCAAAGAAAGAGAGAAACAGAAACATTTTGATAACTACTTCAATCAATTAATTGATGGCTTGGATAAATAACTATTTTGCAACACTTATTCCTTCACACCTACAGGCTTATTCTAATACTAAGTGCCTCTGCTCTGTACACTACTGTTTTGTGTATTATTCAAACTTTAGTATGCCTTCAGTGTGAAAAAAAATACCTCAAGTTTAACAGGTAGCTATTACTTTAGAGGACAGACCAAGCTACTTCCATCTCAAGAGATATTTCTTCTCTGTTAGAAACGTTGATTTGACAATTATAATAAGGCTCAAGACCACCAAAGATGAGCTAAAAGAGTATATCCTAATGTTAAAAGCAGTTTTCAAATAATTAAGAAGTTCAGCCTTTATTTACTAGTTACTTTCAGTGTCAAGCAACAGAAACAACCATTTCATTAAGTTTTCTGGACTTCCTCTACTACTTAAAAAAACGTTTGCCTACTTCATTAAGGTGATTTTCAATCCCACAAATCTTTTAAATGAAACAGATACAGAGAGCTGCTTTTAAAAGAAAGGAGTCTCTCAAGCTTCCTCTATTTCAGTCTTCTGAATAGAAAGAAATATTTTCATGGCCATGTAAAATTCCAATCTGAAAAGATTATTTCATTATTTGAGCCTTTCCATTTTCAGACCAAAAGTAAACCAGAGTAATTCTTAAAAGTTTATAAATGACAAGATCAGGTGGCTGGCTCATCCTTGTGTCTTCTAGACATATTGCATGGATCCATTCACCACTGCCTTCCAAACTGCAGGTGCTGGCATGTGTGACAGATATCATCCATGAAGGCTCTGCTAGAAGAATTCCTTTTGCTGAAGAAGTATGATGTTTTACCAGTTGAAAGAAATCTGGGCAATTAGAGAACAAATAAACCAGTCTCCCATTATCAAGATACCTGGAGTCACAGAAGGAATCCACCAAGGAAAAATGAAAACTTGCCAAAAGGTAACAAGTTCACATTCTACCCATTGTAGGTGATAAGAACTTCCTGGAATCAAATCCTACCCTTGGCATCAAAGAAACTAAGAGAAAACCATCTTAATGCCATGGGTGAAATCTAGGAAAGGGTTCTTTTACCACAAATATTTATTCCTAGGGACTAGAAAATGACTTTTGAGTATATTAAACATAGCTTTCAGGGATATTGTATCCTGAAACTTACATTCATTCATACTTATCTTTTATTAAAGAATGAAGCCTAGAATTGACAGTAAAACCGTAATAGTACTATCATTGCATCTTTTAAAAGATCTAATATGAAGTCCTAACATTTGAGGTAGGAAGAAGACCAAAAGGTTCTCACTAACAGGGTAGGATAACACCTGGACATCTGACTGTATAAATTAGACTTCAAATGTCCAGTTTGCCCAAAGATGAAATACAGAACCTTTTAAATTACTGGAATATAAAGAGCACTTAGAAGTCCACTAATACCATAAAGGCCAAAATGGGTAGATACTCCCTTTTTAAAATTCCTGTGGACTACATAGGCATTCGTCAAATCATGTGCCCCAAATCATCCACTGCTTTAATTATCTGGAGAGAAAATTAAATTTTAGGTCTCATTTTTGAATGAGTACTAGTTAGCATTCTTAGAAAAACAAACAGATTGCAGTCCCACCTGGTTCTTAAATGAACCCAAGGAGTTTACCATAGAATTAAATGGGCAATGGAAGGACACTCCAATCTATAAATTAACCCAAGTAAATAATGGAAAGCACCCACTTGTTTATTATCCTTTCCCACTCTCTCCAGAAGCTGGATATTCTGTCTCCAAGGGTTCAGTGGAGAAAGTGGACCCCTGACGTCAAAAGCTCTCCGTGGTCTTGGCTGTATCTGTGGTTCTAGGATCACTCCTTGCACCTCTGGTAGGAGAGAAGCACTGAAATAGAGAGCTGAATATAGATTTAAGAAAAAATTCTTATTAAGAAATTACATTCTCTGGTCATTTGAGTTTGTAATGGCTTATCCTCAGGATAAAAAGAGCTACCTTTGGGCATACTTTCTTTAGTGCCTTCTTCATTTGAATTTTAGAAGTCTGTCACACCACAAATGATTAATTCCTCAGTAACTATTAAGAAGGGACCTGTATTGGTCTAAGCCATAACACACTCTGTGATAAACCACTCAACTTTGAGTGGAAGACCAAATCAAAAATGATAAATTATGACTGGAAACAAGATCATAGTTGTCTTTAAGGGACAGGGAAAAGGCACGCAACCTCAGATATATCAAAGGAGGAGTCCCAGTTAATTCTTCTGTCAAAGAAAAGAAGATGGACTGAAAAGTAGAAACAGAAAAAAATCAAGCATATTAACAGGAATACTACTAAACTTTGGGAAAGTCTAAGAAGCTGAATTTCTTCTCTGAGTTCAAGTCTTCATTAACTTAAAGAATTAATCACACTATAGGCCCATATTACAGCAATACAAAGCTAAGCCTGTATTTTATCAAAGCTTATGACTACTGTCACTGAAAAGATTTATTCTTCAAGCACTCAGCTTTAAAACTGGGAAGGCAGAATAGTGAATATAGGTAATACAGACTCAAAATCTTTTTTAAAATGCATAATCATTTTCTTTTGGGTCAAGAAGAACCAGGAATAATCATTAATGGCTATAACATAGAAATTAAAGCAGTAAGATATACCCAAATTACAGATGATGGCAAAGATACTAGAAAATAGTTAGCTTTATTATAGGAATAAGGTAAATAAGAGAAGGAAGTTCAAAGCACATAGCATCTGATCAAGGAAAAGCTGAAAGGAGAACAAGATAGGCAGATACATATTTAAAGTTACAGGGACTGCAGGATAAATTTTAACAGTGTTGCCTTTGGAAAACAGATCAATTATGCTTTGTGGTACAGAGTAATACAACCCTATTAAATTTCAGATCTTATTCTAAATATAATGGTGCTGCATATCCTTGTTCTATGAAATACAGTCAGTCACAGTATCCTATTTCTGGGACATGTTATATTTTGGGATAAAGTTTTTATAAAATGCTATCAAGTAATCTCCCTCTCATACCAACTGTTTATCACAAGGGTTCCTTACCTGTTAGTGGAACGAGGATTGTGTTCTCTTGTTCTCTATCAATCAACCAACAAAGGTTATAGTCTCAGCACTAAGAACGTAGCAACCAACCAAAGTTAGTGTTTTTAATGCCTTCACTTCCTCCTGGCTCTGCCAGCCAGTTTGGAAATGTATCAAAAGCTGAAAAGGAATGATTATTCCATTACCTAACAACATTCAGACTAAGTATTTTTAAAAGCTTAAAGATGAAAAGAATGAGCTAACCCTTCTGCAGAGGAACATACCCAATTCTGTACAAATGAGAAATGAAGACAGTTTGACCTAAGTAAAGAAAATCTATTAATTTAACCATCAAATCTGCAATTACCAAATATTAAAGAAAAGAAAAAAGAAATTGGAAAGAAGGTGAAACTGCCACCTAACAAGAGGTATCAAATAATTATGAAAGTACTTTATGCACCTAAGTGGCAGCTATTGTTTCAATTTAAGTTTCCAATAGATTTTAAGTCCAAAAGTCTTTTAGTATTTAAAAGAGTTTATTCTTTAGATCAGTAGGCTTTAAAAAGTATTTTACAGTATAATCACAATGAGGAGGTATATGACGGATGGTAAGAAGAAAGGAATACAAATTAAAAAAGGATCTGAATACTGAATCTTAATAAATGCAATCTAATTAAGTGGTTTCAAGAGCCTAAAAAACCCCGAGTAGATTAACAAAGCATTCCACAGCTGGAGTTGTTAAGGAGTGGCTCTTTAACAGATGAAAAAGGCTTAAAATCAGTACATTGGAGCTATCTACATACATTTTCACTGTACCTATATGGTGCAAATAGGTGCTACAAAAGTGCTTTAAACAGTCATCCTCTAGTCTTTTCTAATCAATTTCCTTGACAAATTATTCTTTTTCATATAGTAATAGCTCAGTATTAACAGTGAAAATTATCTAAGATTTCTAAATTAATGAAATCTAAGTAAAACTTAACTACTTTAAAACAGTTTAAAACCTATTCAGAGATTATAATTAAGATATGATTTTCCAAATTTCCTTTAGTTTCCAATAGTTAACTTTTCAATAGTTTTCCTTTGGTTCTTGAATACTAATCAATAATAACATATAAGTGAGTGAAAATACAGGCAAAAAGAAAGAGGTACATTTTGAAATAGGAAATATACCTGGTAACTTTCATTTTTAAGTTTACAGGCCTACTTCACTTTGAAAATGAAAAACAACGCCCAAAAAACCAGATCTTGCTCAGATTAATATTAGTCTAAATTTAGAATTTCTCCTACAGCAGGAACTTTACGTTAAATGCATCCAAATCTTTATCATACACCACAGTATAATATAGATTAAAAGTACAACAAACTTAGATTTAAAAAAACCAAATGTCGTTAGGTTAGGTTACACAGCAAGTTAAATATGAGAGCTCGCCGGAGAAAAGGAATCTTTACAAACTTCCCCTAAGTCAGAACACTTTCAGAATATAACTTATTTATTTTGCCTGAAGTACCAAAACATCCTAATTCAACACTCATACTCAGAAATGAATAAACAGATTTCTCTAAGTAGAAATTATTTTGAAATCACTGAGGAGAGGCGGTATCTCTCCTGCTTTAAGAGTTAATAATTTACGAAGACTCTGAATTTGATAATGTATCATTTATGTAAAAAACGTAAAGATGCTTTCAAAATGACATCATTATTTGAACAAGAAAGAGCAGCCTTTGTGAGATTATTATTGATGGAAACTCCTAAAAATAATACAGGAAGCCCTTACCTAATTCTATTTTAGTGGACAACATTCTTCTATGTGATATTTTAAGAGGGGGAAATATTTTTTCCACTGCAAGACTTACATTTCAACCACTAGAGAAAAAATTTCAAACCAAAGCTAACAAAATGAGCAATGCTGAGCTGCTACCTCAAATGGCTGTCATAGATCTATTAACCTACCAGTACATCAATGAAATCATTTTAACATTTTCTGTAAATAATGAAATTTTTAAAGATTCTTACTGAAAATCCATGTATATTCAAATCAGAAACAGTATTTTATATATAAATACCACTGAGAAAATGTTATGAGAAGTACATCAAATTAGGCTGTTTGCAATATTTGTTCTCAATATTAAATTATTAAATGAGTATACGCAGCTTATTAGTTTTAAGCATTTCTAATATCTAAGCATAAGGGAAGGCTACACCTATTTAAGCTATGAAATAGAAGGTACTACGTTTCTACAAAGACCAATTTCTACTCAAACGTGCTACAACTGATCGATCTAAAGTTGAACTTAATGGTTTATAAATTTACCGATTATTCATTAACCTGGACATTCTACATACATTGGAAGCATCTTTTTATTCTTTACCTATTATTACCCATTCATACTGGTTCTAAGGCACTTCTACAAAGAGAACAAATTTTTCACAAATTCCTCTAAGTATCCAAAACAGTCCTAGCTGGCAGTAAGAAGAAAAGGAAAGAACATGCTTAACAGAAGCAGTGTGTCTTTTATCTCCAGCCCCTAGAAAAGTGCTTGGCACATGGAATAGGTAACTCAGTAAATGCTTTACAAATAAGTTACTGATCAAAAAACAAAGAAGAATTTTGTCAAGTGGTTGATATCTAAAGTAGACACTTGAAAAGTTCAACTTTCTAATCCTACAGAAAACAAAAAATTTATCAAAAGTATAAACTTTCGGCCAGGCACCACGGCTCACACTCATAATCCCAGCAATTTGTGAAGCTGAGGCGGCCAATCACCTGAGGTCAGGAGTTCGAGACCAGACTGGCCCACATGGTGAAACCTGTCTCTACTAAAAATACAGAAAATTAGCTGGACATGGTGGCGCTCGCCTGTAGTCCCACTACTTGGGAGGCTGAAGCAGGAGAATTGCTTGAGCCTGGGAGGCGGAGGTTGCAGTGGGCTGAGATCGAGACACTGCACTCCAGCCTGGGCGACAGAGCAAGACTCCGCCATCTCAAAAAATAAAAAATTGAAAAAAAAAAAACTTTCGTGGATCCGTCTCTTTTTGGGGTTGTCAACTTCTAAGGATTTTTTAGTATAGTTAGCAGAATTTCAAAGGTATTATCCTGAGATGACACAAATGTTACCCAAATTGCAACAATGATTACAGATTTCTGATATTATTTTTCAGAGATTTAAAAGTAGTATGAAAACCAGATACTGCCAGAATATCCAATTTCAAAAAGGGAGAGATCTTACCCCATAACAAAACAAAATGGTGGGGGGGAAAAAAAAAACCTAACCAAGTTCTTTGGAATTAGTTAACTAAGGTATTGTATTGGAGGTAAAGATTATTTCTTAACCATAAAGCTTATGTGTATTATCAAATGGAATATACATTTTTAAAAAAAAATAGGGAAGACTCTGAGCAAAGTTGTGTGTTAAAAATAATTTTTTTAATTAAAAAAAAAATGGGAAGGAAGTCTGAACTTAAGGGGCTGAATACCATCATGAGGATATGTGCCTAATCAAGGACATCAATTTCCTAAAAGAGAAGAAAACTGTAATGAAAATAGAAAAACCTAACTATTAAAGCATTTTTAGAACTCAACATCTCGCCAAATTCTATTATCAGTATATTTTCTCTGCATCCCTTTTGGAAAATATACCATCCAAAAATGTTACTGGTATTCAAGTTAGTCCACTAGATATAAGTATCAAATATTTGTGAAAAGACAAGCAACAGATAACCCAAATATGTTCATGCTCCACTAAGGTAGAAGATGAAGTAAAACAGATGAAAAAGAAACGATCTACAATATATATATTTTAGAGTAGTTAATCCACTACAGAACAAAAGATAAAAGGCAATC